CAGTCAAGATTGCCAAAGATACTGAACCCAGAAGACTATCGCATAAAGATGTCGGCATGGGCAAGGAAGCTGGGATATATGCCGTGTGCAGAGTTCCATGTTTACTGTGACATTAGTGAAATTGTGCCCACTTCGCCTGAGGTGTACGTTACATTTTCCAAATCATGCCACTCTGTACTCTTCTGTACCTAACATTCACACTCCACACACTCGCATATGCCATACAGCTCTTGTTCTGTATACCGTGCTGGATGTGACATACTTCAGACTATCCCATTCTGTATGTTGGACCTCACTTTACACACTATATGCTACTTCACTCTGCATCCTTTGCTGTATATTATATAGTTCATACCAGTATTTTTTTTTTTTTTTTTTTTACAGTATTTTCATATAGATGTTATTCATACCAGCTAATATTCATACCACTAGGACTTGTGAATTCTATATTGTTTAATAAACTGCCATAGTTTTGGTAGCAGGTTTATATATTTCTAAATTCTGTTCTTTCGCCAATAATTTTTAACAACTGTTTCAATACAAAAAAAGCATACCATTAGGTCCATATTTATTTGGACACAGGTACAATTTTAGTTTTTTTCGGGTATTTACCAAAACATATTCAAGCTTTAGTTATATAATGGATATGGGCTGAAAGTGCACACTCTCAGGTTTAAGTTGAGGGTATGTACATCTAAATTGGAGGAAGGGTTTAGGAATTACAGCTCTTAAGAATAGCCACCCCCCTTTTTCCAGGGACTAAAAGTAATTGGACAAATGAATATAATCCTAAATAAAATGTTCATTTTTAATATTTTGTTGAGAATCCTTTACTGGCAATGACTGCCTGAAGTCTAGAACCCATGGACATTACCAAAGACTGGATTTTCTCCTTTCTGATGCTTTGCCAGGCTCTAACTGCAGCTGTCTTCAGTTCTTTGTGGACCTTCTTCCTTTAGTTTTGCCTTCAGCAAGTGAAATGCATGCTCAATTTGGGTTGAGATCAGGAAAATGACTCGGCCACTGCAGAATATTTCACTTCTTTTCCTTCAAAAGCTCTTGGGTTGCTTTTGAAGTTTGTTTTGGATCATTGTCCATCTGTACTGTGAAGCGCCGTCCAATCAACTTAGCTGCATTTGGCTGAATCTGTGCTGACAATATATCTCTAAACACTGCAGAATTCATTTGGCTTCTTCTGTCTTTTGTCACATCATCAATAAACACCAATGACCCAGTGCCACTGGAAGCCATGCATGCTCATACCATCATACTTCCTCCACCATGTTTTACAGATGACCTTGTGTGCTTTGAGTCATGAGCTGTTCCAAGCCTTCTCCACACTTTTTTTTCCTTCCAGTTATTCTGGTACAGATTAATCTTAGTTTCATCCGTGCAAAGAATGCTTTTTCAGAACTGGTCTGGCTTTTTTAGATGTTTTTGGTAAAGTCAAATCTGGCTTTTCTATTCTTAAGGCTTATAAATGGTTTGCACCTTGTGGTGAACCCTCTGTATTTGCTCTCGTGAAGTCTTCTCTTGATTGTAGACTTTGGTAATGATATGCCCCACCTCTTGGAGAGTGTCCTTCACTTGTTTGGATGTTGTAAATGGGTTTTTCTTTACCATAGAGAGGATCCTGCAATTATCCACCACTGTGTTGTCTTCCGTGGACGTCTATGCCTTTTTATGTTTCTGAGCTCACCAGTATGTTCTTCTTTCCTCAGAATGTACCAAACTGTTGATTTGGCCACGCCTAATGTTGCTGCTATCTCTTTGATGGATTTGTTTAGTTTTTGAAGCCTTACAATGGTCTGTTTCACTTGCATGGGCAGCTCCTTTGAACGCACAATGTAGGTTCACAGCAATAGATTCCAAATACAAATGCCACACTTAGAATAAACTCCAGACACTTTTACCTGCTTAGTTGATGAAGAAATAATGGAGTAGCCCACACCTGGCCATGAAACAGCTTTTGATTCAATTATCCAATTACTTTTTGTCCCTTGAGAAAGGGGGGGTGGCTACTCTTAAGAGCTGTAATTCCTAAATCCTTCCTCCAATTTGGATGTACATGCCCTCAAATTAAACCTGAGCGTGCTCACTTTCAGCCCATATCCATTATATAACTATAGCATGAATATATTTTGGTAAATACCTGAAAAAAACTAAAATTGTACCTGTGTCAAAATATATATATGGACCTAACTGTATTTGTAACTATCTTCCAGATCTGAAAATGATAGCTGTACTTGAAAGGTGTAAAGTTTACTTATTGGCTTTGTGGGTTGCCAGGTGTAGTTTAGTCTTCCCTGTAGGGTGGGCCCTAACCTGTGTTTTATTCTTGCTTTCAATGCTAATTTCATCATGTTGGCAGCTTAACGTGGTAGTAAATGCTACAACTTTTTTTTTTTTCATCTTGCCCCCCTGCAGCTTTATGCTATAATGTGCTACTATGCACCGCATACTAGCACATTATGTGACACACCTGTCAAAGGATGCCCTCCAGTTCTGTGCGTTCAGTGTGGGGATGTTTTCATCTTCACCTGGTCCTCCTTCCAAGTTCGCTCTCTTTGGCCGCTTGAATGGCTGGGCTATGATGATGTCACTCCCACACATGCGCAAGGGAGTCAGATCACCATGGCACAGAGCGAGTGCCATAATGCAGTCTGAGCTATGCATTCACAGCACAGTGTACATTACTGCTGACAGACCGTAGGAAGTGTATAGGGTTTCTTCTGCCACAAAAACCCAGCCTTTTAGCTTGTTTTATCTTAAGTTTATTGCTGCTTTACTTTGAGTTTTGGTGATGCTTCTTAACTTCAATACCGGGCACTTATACCTTCTTCCTGCCCAGGCCAATTTTCAGCTTTCAGCGCTGTTGCAGTTTGACTATTGTGTGGTCATGCAACACTGTACCCATATGAAATTTTTATATTTTTTTTCACACAAATAGAGCTTTCTTTTGGTGGTATTTAATCACCACTGAGTTTATTTTTTGCTAAATAAAACAAAAAACACCTGAAACGTTTGAAAAAAAAAAAAACACACTTTTCTTAGTTTGTTATAAAAATTTTGCAAATAACACTTCTTTATAAATTTTGGTCAAAATGTACTCTGCTACATGTCTTTGGTAAAAATAATAATTGAATTGAATTTGTGTTTTTTTTTTTCAAATGTTTTTTTTTTTTTTAATTACATTTTTTCTTTTTTTTTTAACTTTTATTTTTCACCACACTGTGACCAAAGCAATACAATGTTACCATAGTAACATTGAACTACTCTGGGCAAGTGATCAGGATTTTTTTTTTTCTTTTTACACATTGTGATTGCTAATACCAATGTATTTCATTGATATTTGCAATCGTTACTGAATGAAACGGATTCATTCAGTCTTTTGTTGTGATTAGCTGTGATTGGGCAAAGCTCATCACATGATACAGATGGGCTGTGATTGGCCCTGTCTGTACCATGTGACTACTTTGACCAATCACAGCTATTACAATTGTATACAATGAATGGCGTGACAAGAAGCCATCCATTGTATACAGTTGACATTTGATCTGCTATGATTGGGGTCACAGCGGTCACATGACACTTGCAATGGGCCAGTGCAGTGATATGTCATCAGCTGTGTCCCGTGGACACAGCCGGTGACAGATCGCGCAGCCCCGTGGCTGCGTGAGGTGCTCGTTTTGACAGGACGTCATATGACACCCAGTCAGGACGAGTGTCCCACCCGGCCGGTAATCTGCTATAGGCCAGGCGGGAAGGTGTTAATGTGCCTTTGCCAGCCAAAAAGCAAAGTAGTCATGGCAGTGAGTTTCTCATATGATGTTCATGACTGGTGCTGACAATTCACAGTCTAGTAGAAAGGTAACATTCATAAATGCTAGGGTAAAAAAAAAAATCCATTGCACAGTGATGTCAAAAGTTTGTCTTGTACTTATGGCAATGTATTTCTTCTGACTCTTTGACCACACATCTCAGGAAGTCCAAGTGGGATTCAATGGGACAACATGCTGTGTGACTTAAAAAAAAAAAAAAAAAAAAAGGGGGTTTGATATAGAAATATAAGTAAGTTCAAACACCTCTCTTAACAGCGTGAGATGAGTCAGCTGTGAACTTTTTTTCCTCACAATCCCTTTGAAAAGCTGGATTTTTATTAATGACTGTTGAAAGTGCTGCTTATCATTGTAAAGTTTTTACACAGCTCAGTCTTCACAACTAGTGCTTAATTCAAGTGGTGTTCTTGTAAGAATCAGGCTGTATAAGACCAATTTTAGGCTTTCCATATATATATATATATATATATATATATATATATATATATATATATATATATATATATATATATATATAAAAAAAGGAAGCCAATTGGCTAAAGAATGGTCTGCTAAGCAAGCGTTGCAAAGCTTATCACAAGCTTAGTACCTCATTCTAGTCCTTGGGCACTTTATTGAAGCCTTCAGTTCCATGGTGAGAAAACGGAATATAGATTGAGCAATGCTAAAGCTTGTTTAAAGAGATTAAAGCCTTCAGTGTGTTTATAAATGTAAAAGAGATTGCTTGATACACAAATTGTCAGTGTGTGATTGTGTGGAAAGCCTTGTTTGTATGTATGGTTTTGTAATCGTATATGTACATTAAGCTGTATTTTTTCATTTCATCTGTTGTCTTTGGATGTCATTTTTCCCCTTGATCACAAGGAAGCAAGGGGAAATCTCCTTAACAAGGACACCAACAAAAATAAAATTCTGACACAAGTTCTTAACCTTCTGAATACGTTCATATAAAGAAGTGTTATTAGTGCTTGTGCCAGGGTAGACAGTTTAATACCATGATGATACATTTATTTTAATTGTTTAAATGTGTTAATATTCACCACCTAAAAGGGAGGCCTGGGACTTGATAGAAACACACTCTGTTACTGTTCTGGTGTCCTGGTTATGTGCTTTATTAAGTCTTTTACCGAAGCTGCTAAGTCTCGTGTTTTCTCTTTGCAGATTTTTCAGCAAATGAACTTTAACAAGAGGCCAGGAAGAATTAGTGTAAAACCTATCAACTTTGCAGTCATCCTGAATTATCCAACACCAACTTGCTGGAAAAAGTGTTCAGGGTAAAGGCTTTGTTTTCCATGGGATTAAAAAAAAAAAAAAACACGTCTGTGGCATGATGAAAGAGAACGATTCCAAGAATTACTTTGAGTAGCATTAGTCCTATGTGGTAGAAGGCTCTGATTCCCATCTTTTCTCCAGTCCTAGCCTAGTACAATGTATGGCATTCAAGTATTTCTATATAAATATTCTTAACAAAGAGTAAATGATGTATAAAACAAGCCCTCCTTGACCCTGTATGCACTGCGGAGGAATACATCATCATAATTTATAGCAGAAGCACTGAGTTCCTATTAAAGTAGAATTCCAGCCTAACCCAAATAGTTTTAAACATGTTCTTTCCCCATTTCTCCTGCCTATGCTGACTAACCTGATTAAAAAAAAAAGATGTATATACTATATTTACCTATTTTCAGCCCGCTCCAGTCCGGTCACCTGATCTGGCTCGCTTGTGTCAGCCAGCGGTGACTGCAGTGGAGAGGAGAGAGCCCTGCAGTCGGCTAGTACATGGGAGCCTATGGGTGACGTCGCTGCTGCAGACTTTCCCAGCTATTGTAGAGTGCTCTCTCCTCTGTCTGCAGCTGCCCTAAGCTAACGCAGGGGATTTTGTGAATGGAACAGGCTGAAAATAGTATTTACATTTTTTTAATTCTTTTTTTACACAGTTTAATCAGCATAGCTGTTAAAGGGGGAGGGGACTTTGTTTAAGAATGGATAGGTTGTATCTGGAATTCTTCTTTAGCTTCTCTCTGCAGCAAAGCTCATCCTGCAATCAGTGACTCAGAAGCTTAGCTTTGCCTTCTCCTGTTCCCCACCAAGCAGTGACTCAGAAGCTCAGCTTTGCCTTCTCCTGTTCCCCTTCAAGCAGTGACTCAGAAGCTCAGCTTTGCCTTCTCCTGTTCCCCACCAAGCAGTGACTCAGAAGCTCAGCTTTGCCTTCTCCTGTTCCCCACCAAGCAGTGACTCAGAAGCTCAGCTTTTCCTTCTCCTGTTCCCCTTCAAGCAGTGACTCAGAAGCTCAGCTTTGCCTTCTCCTGTTCCCCACCAAGCAGTGACTCAGAAGCTCAGCTTTGCCTTCTCCTGTTCCCCTTCAAGCAGTGACTCAGAAGCTCAGCTTTGCCTTCTCCTGTTCCCCTTCAAGCAGTGACTCAGAAGCTCGGCTTTGCCTTCTCCTGTTCCCCTCCATGCAGTGACTCAGAAGCTCAGCTTTGCCTTCTCCTGTTCCCCTTCAAGCAGTGACTCAGAAGCTCAGCTTTGCCTTCTCCTGTTCCCCTCCATGCAGTGACTCAGAAGCTCAGCTTTGCCTTCTCCTGTTCCCCCTCCAAGCAGTGACTCAGAAGCTCAGCATTGCCTGCTCTTGCCTGCTCCCCTCCAGTTACTCAAGCTCAGTGTTGCCTGTGCCTGCCTGTTCCCCTCCAAGCAGTGACTCGGAATCGCAGCTTTGCCTTCTTCTGCCTGTTCCCCTCCAAGCAGTGACTCAGAAGCTCAGTGTTGCCTGCTCCTGCGTGTTCCCCTCCAAGCATTGACTCAGAAACTTAGCTTTTGCCTGCTCCTGCCTCCCTACAGCTCAGCTCACCCTGATTCTTCCTCACAGCAGTGGCTCAGCAAATTTTCCGATTTCTAAAGTCTAATGGTCTCTAATGACCTGCCTCGGATCTTATAGGCACAGTAGTGCACACTCTTTAAGCCGGCCATAGATGGATCTAATCTCAGCCTGTTCAACAGGGACTGTCCGAGATTTGATCCAGTTATGGGCAGGCTGATTGTACTGAAGTGGATCCATCAGTTGACTTCAGTAGAACCAGCCTGTCAGATTGTTTTCATGCAATCACTTCCTTCATAATTCCTCTTCATAAGGGAATGAAGGATTAGGATTGCAGGGAGTTTTTCCTACAAGATGTACAATCTTCCTGTGAGATAATGAAACTCTACAGACCAAAGGGCCCCTGCTAATCTGTAATCAGTTGGAAATGCCTTTACTGTCTCAAGTGATGTTAAAAATTGGTATCATTGTTCATCTGCCAGTTGATGGTCACAATAAACCATAATGTTAGTATTTTCTTTGCCTCTAAAAGTCTATCACTGTGCTGAAGATAACTGGGAAGCACAGCATGTGTAAATTTGGCTGCCTCAGTGTCATTTTCTAATTAAAACCTTTTCAAAGAACAGAGTTTTCATCACTTACACTTTGCTAAGATTATTTATAGATTGCATCTAACAAATATTTCCTTTGCATTTTTTTTTCTTTGTAGGATGGGCTGATTGACCAAATCTATGACTTGACAATGGAATATTTGCATACCCAGGCTCACTGCATCGGGTTTCCTGAGCTGGCTCTGCCCTGTATAATCCAGGTATGTTGGCTAGTTATTACTCTACAGCTACATCAAAAAGGGCCATAACATAATTTTTATTTTCCCTTTTAGATTGGTACTGGTCTTACGAAAATTATACAATGAAAAATTGTCATGTATACATTTACAGACTTGGTGATGGATTGATTTTAATGTTTTTGGTTACAGGCTCTTATATAAAAAAAAAAATCACTTGTAGGAAAAGTCACTGTATAAGGGGTCATGCATTTAGTGCTGAGGCAGTGTCAAAACATCTGCTTTTAGCCACACTTAGTTCATCTGGTGCAGACCTTGTTACCGCTTTCTGTTGCATTCATTGAACCCAATAAATAGGGTGCCTGGAATGTATATTGGCATTTAACTTTAAGCTTTAATGATGCTTTAAAGATTCATTAGATATTTTAATACATCCAATGACCCCAGGCAACTTTGAAAATATTGCTTTTACCCCTGCCCTTTCTTTCCCTGTGAGAGTTGCCATCACCAGCCCATGGCAGTCTAAACTTTGCTCTGTTCAAATTAACTTGTATGTGTCTTCATTGGAGCATGCAGACCAATACTGAGAAGGGAAGGCATTTACTCACACCATAGCTCTTCGTTTTAATGTGCAGCCCTGGCATGCTGTATGTTTCGCTACAGGTAGAGAGCACTTGATTCCAGATCAGAAATGAAATGAGGAAGCTAGCAGGGATCCATTTAGACATACTTTTGCTTTCCACAGTTGCCTGTCTTAAATCATATGGTGTGAGAGGACAGGCAGTCACTAGTGAAACTTATGAAGGGATTTTCTGCTTCTAGCAGCTTGTGATCTCCAGGTATTACATAAGCAAATAGCAGCAAAAAACATTAAATCAAGCAGATATCTGAAGCAGATTCTGTTCTTATTCTCACATTTTGACTGTAGTTAGAGTATAGACGCAAGCTGAATGTAAATCAAACAAGGTCCCAGGCCTATAATGACAGCTGTTGGAGCACAGGGCAAATAAAAGCAATAATAATAGTTTTTTTGCAATGTTACGAACTATCCTGATAATAGATTATTTTGTTTTAAAAGTACAAGCTATGTCCTTTATGAAATGAACTCCGGGTATTGTCAACGTGTGGATCTTGGTAATATTCACTTTTTTTCTTTTGCTTTCCAATGTGAACTTTATTGCCCATGTATTGAATCATACAAGCAGCATTACGAAGACCGTCCTCACTTGCCCTGTGTGCAGGTAGAAGTAGATTAGCCTGTGGACAGAACAACAAAAAAAGGTGCACCATCCTGCACCTCATCCAAGATTTTACAATACATGGCCCTGTCCATTGGCTCCTCAATGCGGCAAAGTCGGTTTCTACCTTTAGCAGAGAAACAGCCCCAAAGCATAATGTTTCCACCTCCATGCTTGACTGTAGGGATGGTGTACTTAGGGTCATAGTCAGCATTTTTCTTTCCCCAAACACAGCAAGTTGAGAGCTCAATTTTGGTCTTATCTGACCACAGCACTTTCTTCCAATCCTTCTCTGAATCATTTAAATGTTCATTGGCAAACCTCAAACAGGCCTGTACATGTGCCTTCTTGAGGAGGGGGACCTTGCGGGTGCTGCAGGATTTCAATCCATTGTGGCGTTTTGTGTTACCAATGGTTTGTTTGGTGACTGTGGTCCCAACTGCCTTGTAAACATTTACAAACTTCTCCCATGTAGTTCTGAGCTGATCCTCACTTTTCTCATCATCATCCTTACCCCATGAGGTGCAATCTTGCATGGAGCTCCATACCAAGGATGATTGATGGTTAATTTGTATTTCAATTTGCGAATAATTGCTTTAACAGTTGTCTCCTTAGCAAGCTTCTTGCTGATGGTCTTGTAGCCCATTCCAGCCTTGTGCAGGTTTACTATCTTGACCCTGACATCCTTTGACAGCTCTTTTGGTCTTGCCCATGGTGGAGACGTTTGAATGGAAGAAAGAGATTCTGTGGACAGGTGTCTTTTTATACACAAAACGAGTAGTCGTTAGGAGCACCTTCTTAAATTGACAGGACTAATCTGTGCACCACATGAGCACATAGCCTGTCTGTGGGAGCCAGAATTATTGTTGTTTTGTAGGGGATCAAATACTTATTTTACTCCCTGAACTGCAACTCAATTTATAGCATTTTTATCGGGTTTTTTTTTCTGGATTTTTGGTTGATATTCTGTCTCATTTTAAATATACCTATGACCCTAGTCTCAGTCCTTGCAAATCTTAGTGTCACCAGCTCAGTGCATGAGCTGTATTCAGTTACAGGTGTTCTGTGCACAGGGCATAACAGACGATGGAGAGTTCTTCCATGCAAGCAGAGCAGTTTGTTCTTGTTCTCTGTTTTGTCAGTGTGACTTGCCAATAAATCATTGTAACCTGACTTTGCCGTAACCTTGACTTAACGGAAGTATTTGACCAGCTATAAATTCGCTTTAGAAGCGCTATTGCTCACAATTCCAACTTAAATATAACTTGTTTGTGAAGCAGTGTACTTTTTTTTACCATCTTTTAAAATAGGTGTAACAGTTTTATTTTTTCTTGTCCATTGTGGGCAAAAGTCATATATTGAGGTTTTTGCTCGTGTCTAGTCCTCCTCATGGCAATATAACCTGACAGTGTGCGACTCCCTGTGTCCTTCAGTGGTATCCAGGAAGTGGAGTACAAAAATACTATTTTTCTTAACGTACATCCCAGGACACAGGGTAGCTTCATACCTGTTATGATAGGGATATTCTGCCACCTTCAGGTAATTGACTGGCAAAAAAGGCAGGAAATCCTCTCCAATTCAAGTTGTGATATATTGCCTGTGCAAGTATAATGACCTTGTGGACTGGCAGAGTGCAGGGCAGTGACCACCAGCTGGGGAGTCGAGTCCCTGAAGGCCTTGCTGGCCCACTCCCGGGGGCGGTAAAGCATAGCATGGAATGGTGAGTGCCCTGGTGATACCTTTGTTCCTAGTGGGGAAGGTGGTGCTTGTGCTTGTACCCTCTTTCTTTCTGATTCCTTTTGCTGTGCCTTTTCGTTCCCCTTAACCACAACAGCTTTCTTTTCATTTCAAGTGCCATGTTTTCTCTTCCTCCCTTCTTCTGTCCCAAGCACTACATTGGCATGCATGGCAAAGTCATAGAGAGGCGGCTTCCATCTTGGTGTGTATTGCACAAGCAGTGGCACAGGCAGACAAATCCCAACAAGGATGTATATGTATATATTTCTATTTTACTGCTCCACCTCAGCTAAGTATTTGTAGGGCAGTTCACCGGTAAGACAAGACAGGAGTTCTTGAGACATAAGGATGCTATTTACACCTTATCTTTTCAACTGACTTGAACTGCTGGTTCTGAACTATCTTGGTCACAAGCAGAAGGGCTTCCTTTCTCCTGCTCCCTCCTTGTTGGTGAAGGAGGATCCAGCTGAGGAAGAGGTGGAAGGGCAAGCACACTTTCCAGAGGAATGGGGATGCGTAAGGTTCCTAATCTGAGGAATCCCAGGGTCCAGTTTTTGGTGTACACCCAAATAACCTTTGTTGTTTGTTGCAGAAGTGGTCCAGACTAATTTAAAATTGCCACTTCCTGAGTGCTCTATTTCATTACAGGAATTAAATCATCTTGTCCGCCTCAGCATCCACAATTTTTCTCTGTACATCCTCATTTACAGGATTTTTTCTGTGCAGACTTACCCTGAATAGGTGTTTGTTCTGCAATATTCGATGGAGTGCAATTGCCGATGTAGGAGCATGTCAAAGCCTCGTTGGATTTTGAGCTAGAGACCTTGACCACAGGGATACTAAGTTGGTCAGATACCTAGATGATTTTCCTCATGCACTTAGTTTTTCGGTGGATGCCTTAAAGAACTTCATCCAACAGGTGTCTCATCTGGTCGAACTGCCGGTTCACATATGCAGGATCCTATGGCTGTAGTGTTGGTCGGCAGAGTTGCCTTCTAAGATGCAGGCTGAACGCTGACCTTTTCAAGGGGGATGTTTGTACGGTCCTCCCTTGAGTGATCACATACAAAAGGTAACTGTGGGCAAGAGAAACTCGTTGCTGCTTGAAAAGAAGTCTAAGTCAGTGATATAAAAAACTGCCACACCTTCTTAATAGCATTTCTTTCTCTTTCGGTCTCTCTAAACCCAAGCCTCAATCCCAATTCCACAAGAACATATGTACTCCAAAGCCTCCTAAGTTGGAAGATAAGTCCTTCTCCCAATTACCGGATGCCCCCAATTGCTGGGATAAGTGGGGCTGGGCGTGGGAATTACACACAAGTGGGTCCAAAATAATGTGGCTTGGGGTTACAAGCCGGGATTTTAGAGCCTCCCCCATCTGTGCTTTATGCATTCAAATGTTTGTTTGAACCGGCCAAAAATTATGTTCTTGCTTTCGACTGCAAACGGTAAGGCTTGTCACATTCTAGATCTCCGAGTTTCAGTGAAAAGAATAAGTTTGGTCAGTAGTTGCCTTCCTCCAGCAGGGAGGTTTTATGGTATCTTTGGATAATCATGGATGCTTACCTGTGTATCACAATCTTCCAACCTCACCGAACATTTCCAACCTCTGATTCCTGTTTTTGTGGTGAAAGACCCACCACTTTCAATTTATGGTACTGCTGTTTGGCCTGTCCATTGCTCCAAAAGTATTCACCAAAGTGTTAGATTTGTTATCTTGTTGCCTACCCCTCATATTGTGTGGTTTGGGGCATCCCTGTCGTAATGGATATGACTTTTTCCTGGAGTGTTTAATAATGAAAATGTGATTTTTGGTTTACCTGTAAAATTCTTCTGATGGAGTACATCACGGGGCACTGGGATATCGCCCCTCTTACTTAGTGTATGTTACCCTAAATATTTCTTTGTGTGTGTGTTCACATATTATAAATCTGTCCTTTTCCATGTACCTACTCCATCTGAAGTACCTGGTTGATCCTGTCAGTCATCTTTCTTCCTTTTTCTAAACTGACCACACAAAGCACAGGAGTTGATCTGTGCTTGCATGGT